AAATATATAGAAAATAGGAAAGAACTGGTTAGGTAAATAATCCAAAGTCCTTAGTATTTTAGTTATTATTTTTTAGAAAGACCTGACATCTATGAAAGTAACTCTATACTGATACATATTATTAACACCCAACACACGCCTACCCAATTTAAACAATTTGCCCTAGCTGTTACCATGGATATTTTGATTTCAATTATTAAAACACGTAAATTTCAGAAATACGTTATTCCAAAAAAAAAATTCGCTTGAAGATGGAACAGAGCTTACTTTAACTCAATTTAATTCAAATAATTATATTGAAGTTTTTTCTCTTGTTTTGAAAACATGAGACCATACTTATGTCGCGAGTTGGAATCATATTTGTAAATAAATAATTATATATATATATATATATATATATATATATATATATATATATATATATAATATATTACGCATTAGAACTCCAAAATTAACTCACAGATTTTGGATTTCTCTGTTGCTTAATTTATATGCTCTGTTATAATAAATACATTGAGATCTTTTGTGGACCAGTTTATATATATTGTGTAGGTACGAACTTTGGTGCATATGTATGTTTATATAGACCTATCTTTACCCATTGAATTGGTTATTTTGCATTTTTTCGTCACTCACGTGTATCTGCATCGTGGGGTCCCTTTGGGTGTGTCATTTATGGAGAAACCCTGCTTATATTTGCATCTGTTTCCCTTCAAAGCTTCTCTTCAAGATTCTATCCAACTGTTCTTTCTGTCTACGCCCAGGTCGACATATTGTTGTTTCCATGGAAAAACTAAAACTCATCAAATAGAGAATCTGGTTGGCTAAGACCGTATTATGTCACATATACACATGCATATGTGGAAAGGTATTGAGAATATTTTATATATATATATATATATATATATATATATATATATATATATATATATTAGGTTGGTGCAAAAATAATGACGTAATCATGTCGTTTTTCGACGTATTTTTTAACGTCAAAAATTATTATTGTCATTTGATACCAATCTGTCTTGTCCCCAGAATTCATCTGGGAATTTAAATATATTGTCGACATGGAAAAAAAAAAGTCCCTTACTATAAAGGTAATTTACAATAACCAGAAAAAAGGCTTAGACACAGGCGTCTATCTTTTTAAATTTGGATTTTATTTTAACTATAACAACAAAAACATTTCGATTTCATTTTTGCCTTGAAAAAGTCGGAAGACGAAACGCGTCGGCAAAATGTATGATTTTTTCCAAATATATATATATATATATATATATATATATATATATATATATATATTATAATAAGATATATAACCAGATGTTCTTGTTAAATATATTTTATTTTTACAAAACAGTACTCATTGCAAATCTACAGAGCATAAATACTATAAATTTACTAATTTAAAAATATGGTTCCATCGTACACAATTTACATTATTCGGACTATTGTCCTAATCTTTGTTGCCATATCTATTACAACGATTCGGCCGTTGTACGCTCCGGCCTTCTTCAGGTGGTTGAATAAAAAACGGAACCCTTTATTCCGCTCACTGTGGGAGATTGTACAGTCTACCCCAGTGAGCAAAATCAAGGGTTCAGTTCAACAGTCTACACCAGTGAGCAAAATAAAGTGTTCAGTTCGACATTCCAACCACCTGAAGAAGGCCGGAGCGTACAACGGCCGAAACATTGTAATAAATATGGCGACAAAGATGAGGCAAATAGTCCGAATAATATAAATAGTGTGCACAATATCTCATCTCAGAAATATAGACAGATACTGATTTTATAGACACACACACTCATAATATTAGTTTCTAAGGATATGGGGAAATCCAATCATTTTAGACAAGGGGTGGTAGGGTATTCATTTTCACTGACAACTATTGTATCAAAATATGAGTTACTTTCGAAAAGAGATTAAATGATGGTAGGGTAGGGGTGCCTTTTTCAAGGGATGACGATATCCGTCCAACACATGTCGTCTGGTCTTTATCAACGACAAAATGTTCTACGGCACTTTTGTTTCGACGTTATATATCAGAACAATATTCAGTAATTTACAGAATGATACTTTTACAAATTTGGGGACAGATTCCTCTCACTAAACAAGGTAAAAAAGGCCATTTAAACATATGTCTGCAACTCCTTTTTTTTTGAGTTATTAAGTTATCCACTGTGCCATGTGTCAAGGACACATGGCACAGTGGATAAAGGCGTTGGTTAGATCCAGTGACAGACCCAAAGAAGGTGAGTTCAATTCCTGGTTAAGGCAGTGGAGAAATTTCAGAGGGAAAATTAGCAGAAGATAACTGAAAACTGACATCCATCAAACATGGCACGTGGAACTAGAACAGTCTACCCCAGTGATCGAAATAAAGGGTTCAGTTCGAAATTCCTACCACCTGAAGAAGGCCGGAGCGTACAACGGCCGAAACGTTGTGACAAATATGGCGACAAAGATGAGGACAATAGTCCGACTAATGTAAATACTGTTCTAATAAAGACAGAAAAGATTTTTAAAAAATATTTAAAATATACTTTGTTTTTTGTCTCTTAATATTAACAAACATTTTGACGATAAATTTATGTTTTTGTCAAGTTTAAGGCCGTTTTTATCATACTATGCTCATTTTCCAGCGATCGCATCCCAGTACCTAGTATAATTAATCTGATTTGAACCAACTATTATTTTTTAAAGTTTAAAATATCACACAAATGTATTTTTCAACTCGACGGTAGCTTGTTTATTTATGTTGAGCGGATTTTAACATCTCTGTGACAGCCGATGACAGATTTTTTTTTATCTAATATGGTTATATGAAGGTTTTAACCTTAAAGCAATAATTGAGGAAATATAAAGCGAACACCTTATAAATATTCGATAATCTTAACAATCTAAGAAAATATTCTCTGTCATCTAATGTTTTCTTGAATTTTAGAGAATTTTGACTCTAAATTTACTCTCTTATTTTCTGATAGTGTCGTGTATAGGCGACCATATCGATAAAATTCGGTACGTTTTTACACACAAAAAACAATTCAAAATTCTTTTAAAGATATTCATTTATGTCAGATTGTAATAAGCTTTATGATATATGATTAGTAAATATAGTTTTATTTAATAACAATCTTTTATAAATGTTACACCAGTGAAACTGAATTTTAAACGATTTAAAAAATATTACAAATTGTTATAAATTTGTAAATCTTGCAAAAATTCATTTTTCATCGAAAATTTTTTTTCTTAAGATAATATTGTCCTTATTATGCATAAAAGCAATTAAAAGCTTATCTAATTAAATAATATATTAGTTTTATTGCGTTGTTTAACTTTTCAACAGGGTCCGATTTTGTAAAAAGAAAATCGGTGATTTAAATTCTTCAAGTAATTCTTCTTTTAACTAATATAGTGACTAAAACTTCTCACTTTGAATTTCTCAAGTTTTCATAAAATTAAGTAAGGCGGTGAAACATGTTAAAAAGAAAAATATTTTTATCAAGATTTTCTAATAAACAAAATCATAATAATAATTTCTTTCAGTTGTCAGTAAGTCTTGAAAATCTCATTAAAATCGAAGAACTATTTGATTTTTGGCACGGATTTCCAAATTAATGTGTCTGTCACTGCAAAATAAAAGACATTAAAATTTGCTGTACTAATAGTACATCCGCTGACGCAAGAAAAAACAAGATTTTTAATTATAATTTCGAATGTTCTAAAAATGAGTGAAAAATTTAATTAAATATTCGAAAATACTTTGATTGTTTGTTATTTTCTCTTAATAATAACAAAAATTTTGACGATAAAACTAAGTTTCATTAAGTTTCGAGCAGGTTTTCATCAGAGTATTCTGATATTTTAGTGATTTCGTGAAGGTGCCTACGTTAGATTCTTTAATAATTTATATGACAACACCAAGCTTTATTGAATCCATTCATTACAGAGAATGAATTCATTCATTGAGAGGATGTGGTATTATGGTGTATGGATTATTGGTGACGGACGAGGTTTTGTGGTGAATGGGCAAATTGTAATGAGTGAATGGGTCGTGAATCGAATTAGCTAGGTATAGGATAGTTAGTTAAGACAAGCCTCAACCCCTCCCCTTTTTCGGCCTTGTGCCATAATTGTATTCTTATATACAATAAATATCCATTACAGGTTATGCGGCATAAGCTGCAACAAATACTGCAAACGACGCTCAACGTTGCCGCATCTGTGCAAGATAGTGTAAGACCCTAGCAGGAATAAAAGCCAGAACTGCGCTGCCCATATTGCGATAGCACTGCTCAAAATCGAGTAACAGCCATCTCGTGTTTTTAATTGTGTGTGTATCTATATATCAATATATGTTTGTATCTGTCTTTCGTGTTTGTGTGTGTGTACCTATGCGTGCCTGTCCACGGGTGTATGTGTTATCGCATTTGTGTGTGCGTGAGTACGCGTGTGTGTGCGTGTGTGCATGTACTAAATCAAAAATGGCCGCTTCGATTCGTACATCTTTGGCGACGGTCCAATTCCCGGCGTCTTCGATACTTAGATTTTCCACGGTGGGAATTTCGACGTTAATTCTTTTTTCTTTTTTTCTCTCTCAAATTTCTCTCGCCAATATCCCAAGTCAATCCTATCCTCATTGTGACCAAGCAGGCGCCACTTTTTATTTATGCAGTTTTAATTGACGTGCCTCGTGACTGACCTCTCGTTTCATCCGCGTCCACACACGTTGAACCAAACTCGGCAGAGCTGTCGAATATTTATGTGATACATATTTTTTTTTCTTTACTTTCAGGAAGCAACTGATCCTTTAGTCATTCTTAGTGGAATAGCCTTTTGCCATTTGGTCTTCTGCACATGCAAAATTAAAAACAAAATGGATTCTTTTTGACAAAACATATCCCGGATAGAATCTACACGCGAAAATATAATGAAGAAAACCCGAAGAGAAAATCGAGAGAAAGGAGAAAATACGAGGCGGATAATGGAAGGAGGGGTTACGACCATATCACGTTGAAACACAGATTCCCGTACGATCACCGAAGTTAAGCAACTTTGAGACTGGTCAGTACCTAGATGAGTAACCGCATAGGAATACCAGGTGGCATAAGCTTGGATGCGCGGATTGTGTAATAAGATAATGGCTCGTGAGTGTTAATCAGAAATCCGAGTTCCAATTCCAGTTGGGTTCGTTATATTCACTTACACACAAACACCCTTGGGAAAGGTATGAATCCACATCTTTACCCCCCCAGCTACGGGTTAATTAGGAAGACATGTATCGCTAAGTCATTATTATTCCCCACCCTAGCAAAAAATAAAAATGCATACAAAATATTTTCTGTCGGCAACGAGCAAAAAAGAAAGAAGAAAGAAAGAAAGACAGAAAGAATGTTATTAGAGAAAAGAAGAAAAGGAGAAAAACAAAAACAAGGAAAACAAATAGTTTCGACTAAAGAAAGAACGAGATTAGAAAGAAAGAAAGAAAGAATTGGTAAGACAGCAATGAAGAAAAAGAGGAAAACAAAGAAAAGGAAGACAAATAGTGCAGAAGAAAGAAAGAAAGAAAGAAAGAATGGTGAGAGAGAAAAGAAAAAGAGACATTAGAAAGAAAAAAAGAAAAACAAAGATGTAAATAGATTGGAAAGATATAAAGAAGCGAACAAAAGAAACAAAGAAAGAAACGAAATTAAGAAAGAAAGAATCCAAAGATAGAAAGAAGCGTAGGAAAGAAACAGTAACGAAATGACGGTAAGAAGAAAATATTAAAAACAAGTCAAGAAATTGAAAGAAAGAAAGAACAATATTTAAGTAAGAAAAAAAAAACGAAAAAAAGAAAAAAAAGAAAGAAAAAGAAAGAAGAAAGAAAAAGAAAGAAGAAAGAAAAAGAAAGAAGAAAAAAAGAGAAAGAAGAAAAAAAGAGAAAGAAGAAAAAAAGAGAAAGAAGAAAAAAAGAGAAAGAAAAAAGAGAAAGAAGAAAAAGATAAAAGAAGGAAAGATAAAAGAAGGAAAGATAAAAGAAGGAAAGATAAAAGAAGGAAAGATAAAAGAAGGAAAGATAAAAGAAAGAAAAAAAGAAAGAAAAAAGAGAAAGAAAGAAAAAATGAAATTGCATATATATGAAAAGGAGTTGAAAGCAAATTTACAGATTAATTGAAAATCTGACAATAAAGAAAATAAATAGAAACTAGAAAGGAAGAATGAAAAAAAAAAATGAAGCCTTAATCTTGAGACCAAATTATACAAAGAAAATCCTTCAAACAACTGCTAAATATCGAAAGTTTTGATTAGTCCATTTATTTTTCTTTTCTATTTGTAGTCGTCTTGAATGGTGAGAAGTTATCAGAAGGCAAAAACGTATTCTACAAAACAAAATCACTTATCATCGATACTGGTCACGATTTAGGCTACAATCGACGGCACATCGTATCGAACATTTTCCATAAACACTCAGGTTATGGCAGTTTGTATTTCCCAACGAATCAGTCTTTTGTTGATTCGATTGTTACGTCAGAATCCAACCGAGAACAGTATTAGAAACGCAGCACGACGCCACAAAATGAAACAAGATTTGCAAGTCGATTTCTTTCATGGCGATGAGTGGTCTTCGCAAATATTCCATGCATAACTTTTTTTTTTCATCTTCGCCATATTCTCTTACGTAATGCTAGTCTTGGACTGAGGATACCGAAAAACTTCATTTTCTGTTCCCACATCACTCTTAACTTGGCAGAAGCAGACGACAAAACCCGGACAACGGTAAACAAAACAAAAAAAATCTTTGAAACACCGAAAAATGGTGTAAATTATGTCTATCACCAGTATATATTATATATATATATATATATATATATATATATATATATAGGAAGTAAGGTGAATGTTTCCATCTTTATCACCAATATATATTAATATTTTATTTTATCAATATATAAATGGGTGGCCGCTTGTAACGACTCGGAATTGTTCATAGGGGAGTCGAAATCCGTTGCTTTTCTTCTATTCACTTACGCTTAAATACACTTGAGAAAGATATGGATGCATATTTTCTCTCTCCAACTATGGGTTAATTAGTAAGAGTTGTATCACTAAACCATTCTTACCCTAAAAAAGAAATCTTACAATCTAAAAATATTTTCTGACAGTATCTGTCTATATTCCTGGGATGAGGTATTATGTACACGATTTACATTATTCGGACTATTCTCTTCATCTTTGTCGCCATATTTATTACAACGTTTTGGCCGTTGTGCGCTTCGGCCTTCTTCAGGTAGTTGGAATGTCGAACTGAACCTTATTTCGCTCACTGACTGTTGTAGTTCCACGTGCCATGTCAAATGGATGTCAGTTATCAGTTATCTTCTGTTAATTCACCTCTCCAAGTCTTTCACCGCCTTAATTAGGAATTGAACTCACACTCAAGGATACATGGTACAAAAAGTAACCCTTGTAGCCCAGTGTCTTTACTGCCTTGTTTGGGGGTGAAATCGATTAAAAAATATGAATAACAGGACCCAAAGAGTGTGAGTTCAATACACGGTGAAGGCAGTCGAGAAATTTCAGAGGGAAAATTAACAGGAGATAACTGACATCCATTAAACATGGCACGTGGAACTAGAACATTCTACCCCAGTCAGCGAAATAATGGGTTCAGTTCGACATTCCAACCACCTGAAGAAGGCCGGAGCGTACAACGGCCGAAACGTTGTAATAAATATGGCGACAAAGATGAGGACAATAGTCCGAATAATGTAAATAGTGTACCATATATATATATATATATATATATATATGAATGAATGCAAATGAATCCCTTGATGACGAAATAAAAAATCGAATCCCCAAAGTTACAAGTGCATTTAGATAGCTTCGTCACACCGCCTATGGAATTAGAGGGGTAACAAACTGGACACAACCACACTGTTGTATGGCTCAGAATTCTGGATCCCATATAGGTCCCATATCAATCAGCTAGATGTCTTCCACAAGTTTTTACCGCACAATCTGTGGCTATACATTCTGATATGTCCCGGAAAGGGATATATTTGAACGAAGTAGCTAAGTGGTTTTGGCTACTATAACCAAGTAGAATACGGTAGCAGTAATCGACTGGTAGGCGTCGTAGTCGCAGGTAAGAAGTGTAGATCAATGGCGTAGTCCAATGGGCGTAGTTATAGACTTAACTCTAAGACTAAGGCTCTGACTCTGTTGTACCTACACGTCCGTCTGTATTTATGACAGACACCGGTCAATCATATTCCAGTGAGGGGGGAACACAGGTGTATGCATATTCCAATATATCACCCCCCCCCGAGCTAAATTCTCCTGTGAATTTTAGCTTTAATACTTCCTCTTCTTAGGGTCTGGACATAAACGATTAACTTTTTTCTAAGCCTTTTTCGGCTCAATCCTCCTTGCAGTGGTGGCGTTTGTCACACTGGTACCTCTGGACTTGAGGTCGGGTATACCTCCATCGGTGAATGTTGACTCACTGGCACGGAAATATCAAAGGCGTCATATAAGACTCCCATTGGAATCTCTTCGGTATTTTCCGCGACCTCTGTAGTATGTCTGTGTCTTAACTGATTCCAATGTCTTTTACAAGGGAATTTTTCTCCTCTTATGTCGTATATGACTTGACCAATTCTTTTGCTTTTGGTTATTGCACCTTCTTCCCAATACGCTTTTCCAGCCCTAAAATTCTTAAAGAAATCTTTATCTCCTGGCTTATATACATATGTCATGTAGTTTTGTTTCTTCGCAGTTTTCTTCGTCGGACTAGGCAACAGCCCGTCGAAAACAGATCGTATTATTCTTACAAACATGAACTCTGCTGGCGATAATCCTGACGTCGTATTCGGGTTTGGCGTGATTCTGTACACTGCCAAAAAATTCTGAATACTCTGTTCATTCGTGTCCATGCCTTGAGTTTTCTTCAAGGCTCGTTTAAATGTGTCCACGAATTTTTCTGCCTGTCTTTTCGATCTTGGATGATAAACTGGTGTTGTCACGTGATCGATGGACAATGCTGTACAGAATTTCTTGAATTCTCTTCCCGTAAACTGCGTTCCGCTGTCACTGACTAAAGTTTTAGAGAGTCCGAAGCGACTAAAAATTTCACCAAGAGCATTTATCGTAATTGTCGCAGTTGGATGTCTGCACTTAACAATTTCTGGCCACTTAGTAAAACTGTCTATTACAATCAAGTAATACGATCCATTTATGGGTCCTGCATAGTCGATATGCAGTCGAGTCCATGGGACATCTGTTTTTGGCCATGGTTGACTCTTTACAGGTGGATCCCTTGCTGCCAGTTGACATCCTTTACACTGTTTCACCACATCTTCTATGTCCTGGTCCATCCTCGGTCAATACGTGTATCCTCTCATTAGAGATTTCATTCGCAAAATCCCTGGATGACCAGTGGAAAATTCTTTTAGAATTTTTTTCTGTAAAGGTACACGGCATTACAACTGTCTGCGTAAAGTAATACCTGATCACATATTGAAAAAGGTGACACTCATTCCTTTTTGTTTTCTCGTTCAACCAGACATGTTTTTTCATTTTCTTAATGAAATCATCGTTTTCCGCTGCTTTTTCACATAATTCTAGAGTAACCGGTAGTTCTCTAATGGTCTTGCCTAACAGACCCCACAATTCCCTTTCGCCTCTCAGGGCCGCTATTACTGTTTCTTCCAGCGGTTCCGTATATTTCGGTATTAACCCCGACAACCCATCGGAGTAACCTAGCTCTTTTGAAGGCACATATTCCATTCTGAAATTATAATTCAATAAAATTATACCCCAACGCAGTAGTCGATTTGTCGTGTGAGTTGGTATACCGTTTTTTTTTTTTTTGAACCAAAAATTGTTAACAGCGGTTTGTGGTCTGTTTGCAGAGTAAATTGTCTTCCATATATGAATCTGTGGAATTTCTTTACAGCGAAGATTATTGCCAAACTCTTTTTCAATTTGGCTATAATTTCGTTACGCGGGCAGTAACGTTCTCGGGGCATGTGCTACTGGCTTCGTAGATCCGTCCTCGAGTTTATGTAGCAATACAGCGTTTAGTCCGTCATTACTAGCATCTGCTGCTACAATCATTT